TGAGGATCTCAAGCGAGTTTTCCCGAAATGTGATGGCCGCTTCGAGCGACTGGAGCTCCATTACAGGAATTTTGTTCGAGGGAGTGGGATCGCCTCGAATGTAAATGGGGAAGAGGGAGCGAACCCATCGAGTAGCGTGGTATGCCCCTGGGGGATCGGTCTGTACCTGTCGAGAGGAAGTTCGGTAGTGGTGCACTCGTTTTTGATATTGGCGTACTTGAGAGGACGCGGGCGCACCAGGGGTCCCCAAGGGTGGCGATCAGCCAAATGGTGGGTATATCCCGCGGGAGTTGTTTCTCTAAGGTTCTGGCGCCAGTCAGACCACTCATCACGAGTTAGGGATTTAGTTTCACGTCGAGCGGTTCTACCTCTACTGAATGGTTGTCGGCGGGAAATCCCTCTCCGGGAACCGCGAGAGCTGGAAGGTGGATCGGAGGGAGCGTGTGGCGACCGTCTGATGGGCTGACGAGCGGCGTACGCATGACCGATGTTGAAAGAGCGAGGTCGGTATGACCGACGCCTGGATTGCCGAGTCCGCATCGGTGGAGAACAGGGGCGATACATAGTCGCCCGTGCGGGTGGGAGAGGGCCAAGCGGCAATGCCGAGGACCTAGGGCTAGCCACCGGCGTATACTCGGTAACCTCCATTGGTGAAGGCGTCGCGACTGGACCGATGTCAGCGTCCAGCGATTCCTCTAATAAAGAGGAGCCTCGCTCTGATGCTTCACGATACGATGCTAGAGGATCATTATCGCTACGGCATGAGACCGCGGCGGTCGTATTATCAACGGAGTCATGATCTGACTGATCGCTGTGCAAATAAACTGAATGATCAGCCAAGATATGGCCCTGCTTGTCGTCGGGATAGTTGAGGCCTCGTTTCCATGGTTACGTTGGCAAGTCTGTCAGTCGGTTGACTTCGAGTAACGATCACGAACAAATCTGAAACATTTTTAAGAATAATCTAAAGAAGATTGCCTAGAAGAACAAATTTGACCATGTGGATATTATTATAATTTTTGCGTTTCAAGAGACTTGTGTAACCGAAGTACGCTACAGTTTGAGGAGAAGTTAAGTGCGAGTTAAAGATGGAACCAAGGTATGGCCGAGGTACAACTCGAAATGGCGCCAAACTCAAAGAGAATTCAAACGCATCTGCAATCTGGTGTTGTATGGGTGGTTTGGAGCCAATCTTTTCGGCTCCTTGTTAGCCACGTAGTTTATCTAGCTGGAAGGGAGGGTGATTGTAATATGACTGGGGTGGTCTACAAAATTACTTGCCGTGATTGTGGTGACGAGTATATTGGAGAAACGGCAAGACCACTCCACGTGAGGGTTAAGGAGTACATAGATGGTATGAGGCGATTGAAAGAGTGTACTGCCTTGGGGAGTCACCGAATCCAAAAGCATAACGGAGGCGTTTTTGAGGTCACCGTGGAGGTCGTAGCACAGGAATCGCAATTGTGCGCGCGTAAAACCCTCGAGGCATTTTGGATACAGGTCACCAGTCCCAAGATGAATCGTAGGGAAGAATGTCTCGCAATCACGCGTGAGCTACGACCTTATATAAGGCTGGCCTTCCCGCAGAGACTTTAATGAGACATACCCCAGCTGACAGTGGTCGGTTGGTACCATCACTCGCTGGGTGGTTTCGAAGAATCCACAAAGCTACGGTGAGTGATTCTCCTTTCAATCACTTGCGTGCCCTGGGGGTCTCGAGCTTTAGTTGGGTTGGTGGAGACGTTTGATCGGATAGTCACAAATTGTTATGATCCTTTCAGGCTCTGAAGAAGGCGATTCCGCCGAAACGTCAGCCTAATGAAGCATATTTAAAAACCTCGTGAAGAGTTCAAGAAAAGAGCAAACTCAATGATACAATCATGCCGAGGTTCATAGAAAGCCGTACATGGAACTATTTGGACTGTTCCAGAATGGACGATAGAGCGAACGCCAGGGAAATTAACTGGGAAGTAGGCTGACGACGTTACCATTTTACACCAGGATGCTGGGGAGGAATATCGTTTTGTATTGGGACAAAAATGTTAACAGAAAGGCTCTCAAACGTGGCATTGAAAGGTGGTAGTATAGTAGAACAGTTGCATGAGAGTGGTATGTACAAGATCCGATC